TCTTAACGTGAGTTCAACTTCATCATTAATATTATCTTTATGAAGTAATTTTTTGTCATTACATTGCATCAAAAAGGTTAACTGTTGTTATCAGTTTACGACTTTGTCTTTTCTTAAGAAAGTCCCAGAGTTTCAAAATTCTCAATTTATTAGATTCCATATACACATAATGTTTTATCTTGGCTGTCCGGGTGACGCCGCGTCGAAGTTACCAGTTACCCTGAAGAGGCGGGAATTTATTTACGTTGGGGATACATATTTTTCCTGCAGCCGATGAGGTTTTGCAGATTGCTAGGGCGGTATCTTAAATAAACTAACTTATACTAACTTCAAACTAATTACATTTCCGCTTTGGGAATTGCTAAGTTTTGTAAACTCATTGTAATATTTAGTTTAATTCTTTATATTGTTCTTGTTTCTTCTTTTTCTTTTTTGTTCATTTTCACACGCATTCATTCTTAGACTATATTTACAATCGCATTCATTTATTCTTTAATTCATGCATACCCACAACACTATTTACAATATGTACACTGTTTCGATTCGCCATGGCGCCGACTTCACTTAAGCGTCCGTGGCGCCACGACGTCCTCATGTTCAGGCGACGCTGGCCTGCCGGAGCGCGTTACCGCGCCGTCCGCGCGGTTTCCGGCATCTGTGAGTGGTAATCCCCTCCCACACACTTGCTGCTCCACCGCGTCGCAGCGCTCAGCTTCTGCGCGGACAATGCGCAGAAAGTGAAGGCGACGTGCTGTGGGCCCTTTCTTCTGTGGAAGGCCTTGTGCACATCGCTGTTCGCCGCTTAGCCGGCCTCGCGCAGCAAACGCGGAGCGGGCGGCCTCAGCGCCCTTGCGAGCGCCGTCTTCGCCCTCTTTTGTAGCTCCGCCGGGATCTGGTTCCGAACGCCTAAGATTTTGAAGACGTCAATGTTTTTGGGAGTTCGTTCGGGAGTGGTAAGAGGCAAATGCGTGCGTGCCGCGAGGCGCGCCGCTCTGTTCTTTGCTACCCGGATGGGGTGCAGAGTGGAGGGAGAAGCGGCCGCGAATACCTCACATGCGTACGCCCACAAGGCACGCACGCAAGCAGTGAATAAGCGGCGCTTTAGAGGAATTGCGAGGTCGGGGGAACGGAGAAGAGGTTTCAAAAGGAGCGTGCGAGTTCTAACTTTGGCA